GCTTTGCCGCTGAGCTAAATCCCCAGCCCCTAGAGTCACGTTTTCATTTGTTTCCCAGATTCATTCACTCATACATTCATTCAGTATATATTGGCTGAATGTTCATGCTGTGCTGAACTCTATCAAGTACAGAACACACAGCAGGACCCAGAACTCCTTGGTCTTTTCCTTTATGGGATTTACAGCCTAAAAGAAGAGGCAGGTGTGACATATGATCTCCCTCAGTTATACGACCTCAGCCAAGTTATATCATCTCTTATCCTTGTCTTTCTCCTTGTTAAAGAAGAAATAATATAGGAGATTGAATAAGGACTTGAATGTGACAATGCATAAAAGTACCTGGCACCTGGCAGGCACTCACACAGCAATGGCCCCCCTGTTGGTTGCATGCAGACCTGAGGAAGGCAATGTGGGAGACGGAAAGGGCCCCGGATGCAGGAATCCGATCCAGGCTGGTCTCTCACCAACTGAATAACACTGGTCCTCAATTTCATCATTAGAGCAGGCTCACGGGATCCCATGTTCCCTAAAATTCTGTGCCTCTGACATTCTGTGACCCACAAGGACACAATAAGTGGTATACAGACTGGCTGAGTAATATGTGTGCCACTGTGGAAAGCAAGAGGTTGTTATCAAAGCCCAGAGACATAGGTCTTGTCATAAATATTAAAGGGCACTCTCCACACCAAAGGTTTTTGAAATTTTTCAAATATACAAAAAGTTTGAAGAATTTAACAATAACCTCCCTACCTAGATTCTGTGCTGAATTTATAAATCTATATAGCATCCTTCCATGTGGCAATTCATTTTATTTATTAAGGTTTGTTTTATATGCTCTATGATTCACCCATTTTAAGGTCTAGTTGGGTGGATTTTAGTTATTGTGCACAGTTGTCTAACCCCCTCCATAGTCAATCCAACAAGGTGTCCTTGCACCATTTCAGCGTTGACACCCTCTCCCCCTATAGATGCGTTAGGTGACCTTGCTTGCTTTGTTCAGATGAGGTCATGGAAGTAGCGTATGTCGGGGGAGAGATGGTGGCCAGTGGATGGCTGTGCATATAGTGGGTCTCTCTGAGCCAGTTCCCCATGAGTTTTCCTTTCTTGTAGTGGCCACAAGGTATGTGTTAGTTTGCTTAGAAGCAGCAATGCCATGTTCTTCTCTAAATGGTGACTTTTGGAAGAGGGCCTTCAAGAGCAGTCTCATCATTTCTCCTGCTGAATTCTGGCCAGAAGCGGACACTCCCTTGAAACACCAATGGCTCCCTTGTATTTTTTCTCCAATGCCGTAAATCATCCCTGCTGGTAACACTTTCTTTTTGTCTATCACTAGCCTATGAGAACCTGTTTCCCACAGCATCCACGACATCAGAGGCTCAAAAACCACCTTCTGCACAATCAGGTAGGGTTGTGTCATTTTGTATTGTCTTCTGAGAAGCTTTGACAATGAAGAAATCAACAGGTATCACTGAGGACTTGTACAGCAATGAACTAAATAGGCCCTCAAGTAGGCTAAGTACACTGGGGCACCACGGCTGTGTGGCAAATAGAGGAGAGTGGGTGCCATGGTGCTCTGAAGAGGGTCTGCATTCAGACCTGAAGCATCATGGGAGGAAACACCACATAAACCAGGATCTGAAGGGTAATGGGGCCATGGGATTGTTCCAGGCAGAAGAGAGGTCAGGTAATTAGACTGTCTGAACTGTGGGGTGGAGACACTCATTTAGTTCCCAGGTTAGACCCTAGAGTTGGTCAATAACCACGCAGTTAGTGAAGGGTTGGTGACTTGGGCTCTCTAAAATGGCTTTTTGCTGTGGTGAGGAAGGAGTAATATATAAAGGTATGCTGCCTTTAGTTGAATCTCAGATTTTACAAAATAAGTTCAGACTGAGGCAAGATACAGCAAAAATAAAATATTGGGCCCACCAATTCCCTTACTCTAGTGTACAGCCAAAAGAGTCAAGGAGGGCTGAAGGAGCCACGTCATTGCCCAGGACTGAGAAGATCTCTGTGGAATAGTGCTTGGCAAGCACTACAACTCCTAGTCAGTGACCATGGCCTTGGGTACCTGGCAAGCACCAAAGGCACCATTATTGGCTTTATGACCTTCAGTTGCCTGAATCCACACTAGACATCTTTGATTTCTTCATTTGCTTAATAACTTTTTACTTTGCATGCCTAGCCTATTATACACCCTGAACCAGGTCCAGCAATAACACATAAATGACTCAAATATAGTCCCATTTCTTGGGGAGTGTGTAGCTTAGTAGGGAGACAAGTCTTCTGCACAGAAAGCTGTAACACAGGGAGAAAGTGGTCTTGCCACAGGATAGAGGCCCTCTCATACTTTTCCTGCACCCTCACACTGTCACTTCTGTGGCTCTGTGCCACCAGGGGAATGCTCTGAATGTGTTCTGCAATAGTTCTGACCACATGCATTGTCTCGACCTCCATCTCACCCGCTGCTGATGAGATCCTAGCCCATCTCTGCATTCCTACTCAGCTTGCAAGCCAGATAAACTCCTAAAAAGCCCTCTTCTGAGTGCTTTCACAATTTTACCCTCACAGTAGCTTGTGAAATACTTAATATTATCCTCAAGGCCACAGAGCTAGTTAGGGATGCTGGACTTCAGGCCCAGTCTCCCTGACCAGACATCCATTGCTCTTTGCACTCCTCCCCTCAGTGCCTCCTACCACTTGCAGGGGAGATGCGATACTTATGTCATTGGCTTTACATAAAACAGTGTAGCCAGGCCCAGGAGTACCACAACTAAGAGCTAGAAAAGGAAAATGGTCTTTGTGATCACAAAAGGCTTCATGGAAGAGAGGCACCTAGAATAGAGCTTGAGTAATGGAAATATTTAGAAGGCCAGGAATACTGGAACAGTGTACTTCAAGGCAAGTGGATGGTATGAAAAAGAAGGAAGGGGATGTGAGGCACTTCTTAGTGGGTGAGCATTTGCTTTCATGGCACAAATACCCACTCAAGCAAAATTAATGGAAGGAGTCCATGGAGGGAAGTAGGGGAAATCTTAGAGAATCCAACTGAGGGAGTCCAAACTATACAGCCGTTCTCTCACACTCTGCCTCTCTCTTTACCCCTCTCATGAATTGTTATTCTAAGTGACTTCTCTACGTTCTGACCTACCCATAGGTGACTCATCGTGGCCAAGGCAAGTGAAGTGTCATCCTGAGTCTGCCAGCTCTCTTTGCAATTCCACATGCCCAGCGGAGAGAATCTGGCACGCTCTGTCACAGGGATTGATTGCTTTAGAGTCAAGCGTACACTCTAGTCCAGTCACGCTGGCCAGGGAGACTCCATCCCAGGGTACATGATGTTGGCTCCATACCTCCTAGCTATGGATAGATCAGGTTACTATGAATAGGGAAATGTATACATTATCTATTGCCATGTAAAACCACCCCCAAACAGTGACTTAAAACAATAACCATTTATAATTTCTCATGAGTCTGTCAGTGAGCCTGGCAATTCTGCTCTCCTGGGATAGACTTGATCTTAACTGAGCTTGCTCGGGCATCTCTGGCTGGCTGGCAGGTCAGTTGAAGACTGAGTGGCCTAGGATGATCCCTTTCACATGTCTGGCAGTTCTGTAGCTGTCTCCTGATATGATAGAGGTAATGAAGCTACATATTCTTTATCACCCAGTAGGCTATCTTGGCTCATCCATATGATGTTCCAGAGTGTACAGGGGATGAGCTGGAGTCTTAGAAGCCTCCTGCACCCTCTCTGTGCCCAAGATGATATTCTGCCATACTCTCATGGCCAAGGCAAGCCAAAGGCTTCCATGCCAGCACCAAGGAGTGAGGATAGAAGCCCAGCCTCTCAATGGGAGGCTACAATGTCACATTGCAAAGAGCATGGGTACAGGAAAGGGAAGAACTGTGGTCATACCTGTAAATGATTCACCACAGGCAAGCTGTCTTAAAATAGGGTATGGATAAGAAATATATCACAAGTTCTATAGAGCAGACCTGGTGGGGCATGGCATGGACTCCCTCATAGCAATGCAAGGATAAACAGTTGTGCAGAAAATAGCCAACAATGGGCAGAGGGGGCAGCTATCATCCTTTGGTGCCCTTGTTCTTCCCCCAGGAGGCTGGGTCCCTGTGCGGCTGGTAGGTACCAATGAACGTTGTGCAGGCCGTGTTGAACTTTTCTACCAGGAAGTCTGGGGAACCGTGTGTGATGATCTCTGGGACCTTCCACAAGCAAACATCATCTGCAGGCAGCTGGGATGTGGCTGGGCCATTTCAGCCCCAGGTGAGGCCCACTTTGGAGAAGGTTCTGGGAAGATACTTCTTGATGATGTACGCTGCAGGGGAGATGAGCAGTACCTTGAGGAATGCTCCCATATTGGCTGGTTCTCCCACAACTGTGGTCATGGAGAAGACGCCAGTGTGATATGTTCAGGTCAGTCCTGCCCACTCTCCCAGACTGAGCCTAGACAGTGCAAAAATAACTGTTGAACATGAACCAATTTGTTATTCACTCATAGCAGATGTTTTCATGTTTCTAGATGCTGAATATTCAATAGCTGCACTACCAGGTAAGGAAGGCAATGTTTATGGCTGCAGCTTATCAATACCTCAGGGAAGGTATTCGACTGGAAGTCATGTGTGTGTTATTCTCCCTAACCAGTAGAGTGACAGAAATGTGGAATGACCGGATTGTCTGCTGGGGAGGTATATATTACCATAGCAGTCACTTAGCCCAGCCTCATTTGCTGTCTTTCTACCTACTCCATTGTGCATTTCACAACCAGAAAATGCATTCTTGGATTCTCAGACTTCTGCAGAGCACTTTTAGTTTGTCAACTCAGGTTTGTGCAAAGACAACTTGATATGGATGGGTAGCAAATGGTTAAAATATGAAAGATGGTTAAAGATGCTTCCTGCCTAGTACAAATGGTCAATGGGACAGACATGGGAAAAATCACTCCCTCTTTGCTTCTGGCGTGCTGCAGGTGCAATCCTGGTCCCACACAGGTTCATACAGAGTGTAGGTTATTCCTATGCACTCCCAGCCCCAAAACCTCAAGTTTCCCATGTCAGTGTTCTCATTCACTCATTCATTCTGTTTGGGTGTCTGTCTTTCTGTATGTATGTGTCTGTCTCTCTGTCTTTCTCTGTTTCTGTCTCTCACTTCTCCAGATCCCCCTCCAAGGTCACATGATACTCTGCTCTTAGTTATCCCTTAGTCAGAGAATGAGTTATGACTAAAGCTAGTTTGGCAAAGTTTGGCAAAATGTTCTTTACATCCCCTCCTAGGTTGTCGACTCTATCAGTTGGAAATAAATTGATCCAGAAAGAAAACTTCCAAAAGGAGATGCTAAGCTGACTGTCACTGGCGAGGAGAAGTAAGGAAAGGAACGTGTTAGTTTCCATCACAGTGGCAAACATCTGACATAAATCAGCTTTCAGGAAGAAAGATTTATTTTGTTTTCAGGTTTCAGTCCATGGCTAGCCAGCTCCTCTGCTTTAGGCCTATGGCAAGGTCAAAACATAATAGAGGAGGAGCGTGACATGAGAAAGTTGCTCACTTCACAGTGGCCAGAAAGCAGAAAGACAGAGACAAATTACACTCTTCAAAGGCACACTTCCAGTGACCTACTTCCTCCAAGTAGACCTTACCTTGAAGAGTTTCCACCACCTCCTACCAGTGCTATCGGCTGGAAACCAAGCTTTCAACACCTCAACTTTTCTTAATTTTTATTTTTCATTACTACATGTGTGTAGTACATGATTACATTCGTCATGGGGATTGGGTACATATACATAACGTGTCTTAATTTTTATGTTCCCTTTCCCTCTCCTTTCTTCCACCTTCCTCCATCTCTCAGTCCCTATCCTACTTGCAAAAGATCTACCTCCCTGTTTCTTATTATCTGTCTTTTATTTTGCTCTTTAATTTAATTATACTTCAGTATTCTCATTTAAGAGAAACCATATGATATTTAATCTGTGTGTCTGATTTATTTCAGTTAGCATTATGATCTTAAGTTGCATTCATTACATGAATTTTTAAGGGACAATTAAGGTCCAAACCATAAGAGGACCTATAGCATCTTTAGGTCCTGATTCAGTATCTCTGAGCAGCACTAGGTCAGAGGAATATAAATGAGTGGTTCTTCTTCTTCCTGCATCGCAAGCTTATAATTCCCAGCCACTGGGTCTCTGGAAAATGCTCCAGGAGCCAGAATTTCATGTCTTTAGTTCTTAAAATTCCCAATTTAAAAATACCTCACTGTCATGTATGACAACAACATAATGCCTCAAAGTCTGGGAAGGATCTAGGTCAGTGTTTCTTGCCTCTTGCACATTTATATCCTTTTAGGGTCAGGCCTCTCCCCCAGAGACTTGACTCAGCATTTCTGAAAGAAGCTGAGACAGTGTGTTCGTTACAGGCTGCTCAGGCTCCTCATGCTCAGACAGTGATGCAGACCACAGCATCTGCCACCAGTCCACATGTCATTTTGTTTTGGCAGGTCACCCAATGACTGTCTCAGCAGGAACAATGGCTAGAGGTGAGAACTTTATGTGCGTCCTTAGATGCCCTTTTCACTATCATTTAGTTCGAGCTCTGAAACGGTTCTTCAAAAAAATATGCCAAAATACCACTACTCAATCAAGGTCACCCCTCTGAAACTGTTCTGGATAAAGGACCCAGGAATAAAATTAATGTAAGCTTCCAGTTAGTCAAAGAAGAAAATCCAAATAATCAGGTAATACCATCCTTCTTGGTCTCCCTGAGTGCGGGGGACATATGTAGCCATGAATAGAGTGGTGCTGCCAAGGGGGTACCCAAGACCACGACTATACAGTTTATCCACCATAATGAGCCCAGTTTTCTTTTTCATCCTTTTCTCTGACAATCTCAGTTCTTCTCCAGACTTTCTTTTACATCTGCCACTTTCTATCTGTTTTGCCTGTTCTTTGGGTTTCTAGAAATTTCATAGAACTTTTCTTAGCACCACTTAGAGATAAAAGATTAAAATGCCTGGATAGCCTGGATAGCCTTTCAGAGAAAAGCCACAGTTTGATTGGCCAGGGCCGATCAACGGTTGGTACACTTTCCACACACCCAGATAACCCGGTGGAGAAAAGCCAGATATTTCCACAGCTACTGGTATCAACTTTAATTTCAGATTGAGGGTTGGACAATGGATAGACAGACAAGCAGATGAAGAAACAAACAGATGAGTGGACAGGTAGACAGAAAACATTACAGTATTTGAGGTATTGGAGTGATGAATTGCTGAGGGCAACTTCTTTCTACTCAATTACAGATTTTTTCAAATGTAATTTTAAAAAATTACAACTGATGGTGCCTGAGACTCTACTATCATCCTGTGCACAGGTCTACTTTGGACCAGCCTGGTGCAGATCATTACTCACAACTACTAGTGATGCAACAAAAAAAAATTACAGCACCCACAGCAGGGGAGGAACAAGCAAGAAAGGTTCTAGCCACTGTTAGTAAGCCCTTGTCAATGGTGAAATTCTCAAAAGAAAAGAGAGATGTTTTAAGTTTCAGACCAGTTCATGCCAAATCTCCTAAGTTTGCAAGACTTTTTAGCCTAATTTAGCCCCAAGCATACCCACAAGATAATGACCAATGAAACCCTTTTTTGGAAAAGTGGTGAAAATGAAACAAAAAAGGTATGAATTACAAAATTATTAAACTGAGCAATGAACAAAACTGAAACTCTAAAGTGTCTCTCTGCATTTAGAAAAATCTCAGTGTGGTGGCACTATTACTAACTCATCTGGAGCGATTAGGAATCCCCCAAAGAATGAAATGCATGACAACATCACCTGTGTGTGGGAGATCAAGGCAAATGCATCTGATCATATACTGCTGGCATTTCCATATCTTAAGTAAGTACTAAAGGCATTAAGTACTCTGTGTAATTTAAAATTCCACTTATTTATTCTCTTGTTGAGTCTCATAAACAATAGTCCTTTGCGCATTTTAATCTCTTTGTTTGGAAATAACTAGACACATAGAATACAAAAGTAATACAAAGCCCTGTGTATTGCTCTAACTATAGGTGTGGGGGGGGTCTATGCAACTTTATCCCATGTGTAGGTTCATGTAATCACTATTATATTCTAGATACAGATCTTTTCCATTATCACAAAGAAATTAACCTTTACATTTGTCAACTTCCCCCTGTCTGTCTTCTAAGATTGTAATCTGCTCTCTGTCAGCTCTAATTTGTTGTTTTGATAATGAAATTATACACTGTGTAGCTTTTGGAGACTGAATACTTGCACTCAAGATGATTCCCTTGAAATGCATCCAGGCTATTGTATGCATCAATAGTTTGATCCTTTTAACTACTGAAAAATAGTCTACTCCTGTGCCTGTAGCAGAGCCTGTTTAATCCTTTCCCCCTTGACAGACATCTGGGTTGTTTTCAGTCTTGGGCTATCAGAGATAAACCTTCTATAAACAATCTCATACTTTTGAAACTGCCAAGTAGTTGCTTGATTCCTTTATTGGTACAGTCATTGATATATTGATGTAACTGGGATTAAGTTTGTGCCTAAAATTTGCCAAGCACAAAGCCAAAATTA